ACACAGTCTAGAGAAAATTTAATTTGATTTCCTCACATACTCGACATGATTCGAACAACATAATTGATATTATTTTCACGTTTTGTTCACCTTTCAATTAAAAAATCTGCAATATAAATTTGGGATCTTGGATGTCTCATTTTTTGTTGATAATATGACATTCATCAAAGTAAATAAAGAAACAGAAAGCTATTGGCATGAGAAAACTTTGTACCTACATGCTATGTATATATTAAGAAAGTTGCTTTTTGTTTCTGCATGATTTGCAGTCCCAGAAACCCAACTGGACACATATGTCATCTGTAGATTTTGGGAAAAAAAAAGTAATGATCCAGAGAAAATTCACAGTCTAGAGAAAATTCACACATCTAGAGAAAATTTACACAGTCCAGAGAAAAATCACACAGTCTAGAGAAAATTTAATTTGATTTCCTCACATACTCGACATGATTCGAACAACATAATTGATATTATTTTCACGTTTTGTTCACCTTTCAATTAAAAAATCTGCAATATAAATTTGGGATCTTGGATGTCTCATTTTTTGTTGATAATATGACATTCATCAAAGTAAATAAAGAAACAGAAAGCTATTGGCATGAGAAAACTTTGTACCTACATGCTATGTATATATTAAGAAAGTTGCTTTTTGTTTCTGCATGATTTGCAGTCCCAGAAACCCAACTGGACACATATGTCATCTGTAGATTTTGGGAAAAAAAAAGTAATGATCCAGAGAAAATTCACAAGTCTAGAAAAAATTCACAGTCCAAAGAAAATTCACAAGTCCAGAGAAAATTTACACAGTCCAGAGAAAAATCACACAGTCTAGAGAAAATTTAATTTGATTTCCTCACATACTCGACATGATTCGAACAACATAATTGATATTATTTTCACGTTTTGTTCACCTTTCAATTAAAAAATCTGCAATATAAATTTGGGATCTTGGATGTCTCATTTTTTGTTGATAATATGACATTCATCAAAGTAAATAAAGAAACAGAAAGCTATTGGCATGAGAAAGCTTTGTACCTACATCTTATGTATATATTGAGAAAGCTGCTTTTTGTTTTTGCATGATTTGCAGTCCTAGAACCCCAGCTGGACACATATGTCATCTATAGAGCAAAGAGATCCATAAGCTTCAGAACCAGAAAACTTGTTAGGCCAAGTCTTTGATGACATTTGAAATTTCAATATTCGGATTCAAAAAAGACACATTCTTGACTTCAATCTTTGGATCTCTGGAAATGTTTACAAATTCTCCACTGCCCGCGGCTCAGATCGTGGTGGTCCGGCTCATATCACGGCATTCCGACAACAGCGTGATAAAGACAGAGGCGAAGGTGAAGCCGGCGGCGTCGGAGATGAAGGCCGAAAGAGGAGAAAGGAGCAGAGAGATAGAAGAATGTGCACAAAGAAAGAGGGTTTGGTTTGGATAGAATGAAAATCGAAAAGAGAGAGGGGGTCAAATTTCTCTGATCCCATATAGTGGTGTAGGTTTAGGGACCACCATAGACATCAAAATATAATATTGTGGATCCTATCATTACTAAAAATGAGTAAGGGACCTTAGACTAATTTTTTCTAATTTATTCATGCCATGTCAGATTTTTTTGTTTTTTGTGATTTTACATCAATGAAAGTTTCCTAATCAGATTGATCCAGTCAAAGTCAATCATACTAACCAGTATTACTAATTTCATAGAAACAAAACACAAAAATGTGTCCACAAATTTAAGTTGTGATCAAGATTTATTTAAGTGTAGTAAAAAAACATATTGTAAAAGCAAAGAAAAAAAAAATTATTTTGCCTCTATAAATTTTGACTTAAAAATTAAGTCAACTCCTATTTTTTTTAACTATATTTATTTTATATTTGAACTATTCAATTTTAGATCAATTTTACAATTGTTGCCCGTTGTTGTCTATAATTTTATTTGGAACTTCATTTTACTCCCAAACTATCTACAAATATCAATTAGACCCCTAAATATATTAAAATGTTAAATTTAAATATTTAATTAACAAATTTTAAATAATAAACTTTATAAAAAATATTTTAAAAAGTATAAAAAGCCTTATTTAAAATTGTCGGTTTAAGTCTCAAATTATGTGGAGCCAGCTTTGGAGCAATTAATTAAGCTCAAAATTCCTAGTATGTTCTCTCTCTTTCTCAACAATTGTAGCTTACTTAGGCTTCGTTTGGGAACAGACTAATTTAGTAATTTTTTAGCTATTTGGCTCAAATATGAGCTAAAAAAAAGTAGTATGTTTGGGATGACTTTTTGACTTTTTACGAAAAAATATGCAAAAAGTAGAGAGAAAAGAGAATCTTTGACTTTTTAGTATGGGTTGTTGGCTTTTTGAATTTTTTAGTAACTTTTTAACTTTTTGACTAAACCGGCCTGTTGCCTAAGGAGGCCTTATTCTTCAGATCAATTTAAATAGAACCAATCGACCAATAATAAGCTGAAAATTGTGTGAATAAAAATTTAGACCACTCGTTCTCAGATAAACATTTTCGTCTAAGATTTGGATAACAGTATTGAACAAAAATTACTCTCCGATAGTTACATACAATGGCGTAAGCATGACGTGGGAATGATGCAATTCAATTGAAGGAAGAGTGTAAAGAAAACGAGAAAAATTTGAGAAACGGGTAACATGCTATAACAAATCAATCACAGCTTATTATGGAAGTGCATTCGACTCCACTATGCATATGTGCATTAGAAGAATGAATTTGACAAAAAGTAGCTATGTTTAGAAAATAAAATTCACTTTTTTATGTGATGTATTATTGTTTGGTAATATCACGTGTTAATGATAATGTTGTATTACTGTTGCATTGAAATTTTATTAGAATAAAACACACTTGTTGAGTCAATTTTCTTTGTTGCTTCCATTTTTTCATTACCTTTGTCATCTCTCTTCCGTCTCCTATCCATGATATTTGAGTTCTCAGTGTCTTTTGCATTTGTTCCATCTTGTATAAATTCCTTCATTTCTTTCATAATCTTTGTCTAAAGAGATGAATATATCAACAATATAAAATTGAATCGAACATGATTCAATCTAGACTAGTTTGATTCGTTTCATTATCTTATTTCCATCAATAATTATATCAACAATCTTTTGTTTTTTTGATAGAGTTAATCTATATACACCGAATTAAATCACTGATTAGGATGGGTGCTCTACTCGTTTGGATTAGCTCATTAATACTAATCAAGCTTGGATTTGGTTCGAACAAGCTCACACTTCGAACAAGCTCAATAGAGTTAAAAAAAAAAAAAAAAAAAATTGGAATATTATTTACAGTATTTAAACATATATAATTATATTATGTAATATTTAAATAAATGATAAATAAATCGAACTTTATGAGTCGAGCTTGGCTCATTTATTAAACAAGTTTAAAAGTCTAGTTCAAACTCATTTATTTACTTAATGAATCGAGTGAGATTAAGCCAAACCAAGATTTTAATTAGTCAAATTAAATTCACAAACAATGCAATTCATTTGTAACTTTACTTAAGATAGTTTAATATAACGTCAGAGTCGAAATATCAAAAAATAAGAAGGGTGCGAAGAGTCCTACCCAAATCATACAACATATACATCTCAATTAACTAACTTTTACCAAAAACCGTGTAACAAGATGACATAAAACTCCACGAAAGACCAGTTCCAAGCCAAAGCTTCCGTGATGCCTCGTCATTTGGTTTCGAACCATGACATTTCCACCTCATGTCCTTCTCACTGTCCAAATCTCTTCCATCCCTTTATTTATTTATTTAATTGGCTTATTTATTATTATTAGTTTGTCCAGCATTGCTTAACTGGCTGAATTTCTTAGGTAAATCTAATGAAATTATTTATATATATTGGATTACCTGTCCTGGTAGATACTATGAAAATATCACCATCCTATATTTAATAAGTACCTATGACAGAGGTTTATTGATAATCCTACTAAGTGGTTTCATTTAAAATCAGGGCAAATTACATTTACCCCCTCGAGATTTAGCAAAATTATAGATATCTCCCTAAGATTTGAGAAATTACAGATATCCCCCTGAAGGTACTATTTGCATAACAAATTAGAGGGCAAATTATTATGAAAATATAAACCTCAAGGGGCAATTTGTTATGAAAATATAAATCTCAGGGGGTATCTATAATTTTTGAAACCTCAAGAAAAATCTATAATTTAGCTAAACCTCGAGGGAGGTATATGTAATTTGTCCTTTAAATTAAATCCTTTTCTTTTTCATTCATTTCTATCGATGACCCTATCTATGCTAACTTAATGATATTATTTATCACTATCAAAAGTTGTAGTCCGTGTTGTTTATCATTTGCAATTTATTTATTTATTTATTTATTTTTAGGGGTGAGGGGGGAGAAATTACAAGTACAATTTTTTTAATTTGTCTCGTGTTAATTTGATCATCTTAATTCTAATTACATTAATTTGTAACCAACAAATGATATGTTATCTAACTATCATAATTAAATAAAATGTTCTCAAATTTTATTTTAAAATTTTTCATATTATCTCAATTTAGTACAATTGATAATTTCCCTTTATAAATTATTAAAATCTAGAGACAAAATAGTTTATTCAATCTTCTCAAAGTGACTGGGGGGTTCACATCCAATTTGAAATGATCCATTCCTTTTTTAATAAATCATTTTGATCTTATTGTTGTCTAATTTCTTATTACATATATCATTTGGATTAAATTGACCCAAAAATTAAAGGGAAAATAACATGTCAGTGTAAAAGTTGGAAAAAAAAATTCCAATTAATGATAAAGTTTACAAATTTTAATTATTAGATTCATAAACTTTTTCATCTATATGTAATTATTTTTGAAAAATACACCTAAATAGTAATTTTCCCAAAATTAAAAAGCAAAATTGATATAGGTATAATTTGCCTTATTTTTTATATATATATATTTTTTCCCCTTCTTTTCTTTAAGCAATATGTGAGTGCCCATTTATATTGTTGCAAGTATAAAACATGAACAATATGTCAAGCTCAAGTTATTGATTTCTGCTTGAAGATGACAAATGCTATGTTCTCTTTCTCTTCATTCAACATCGATGAAATTCAAGGTGGTTACAATTCCCTCAGAGAGTATGAAAAAGACCAGGCTTTGAGCAAAGATAATCAAAACCCTTTATCAGGGTTGGAAAATTGGGGAGATATTGGTTCTCTCTGTTCCAAATATGGCTTTTATCAGGAGATTGTAGCAGCAGATAAGAGCGTGTATTTCCCCAAAGTCGAACCACCACCGCCACTGCCACCGCTGCCGCCACATCAATCGCCGCCACCCATTTCCAATTATGGAATACTGGGTGATTTCCAGTTCAACCCTGCTTTCCCATTAACTGAACCAATTCCAGAGACAAAAACTGTTTTTGAAACCAAAAAGGAAGAGCAATATTGCTTTTCTTCAGCATCTTTAGAGCTACTGAGTAATTATGCAGGTGGGTTGAAGAAGTTGAAAGGAGAAAAATACTGCAGCAATCTTGGTGATGATGAGACTAAAGGCGGTGGCCAGAAATTATCGACAGAAGAGATCATGAGGGTGGCCGGAGAAAGGTATATACAGTTCTCTACCCAAAGGGTTGACGAAATCTTCATGCTTGCGCACCCTTATGGTTCTTCTTTCTCGGGTCTCTGTCTTGAAGAAACCCGAGACGTAGAACTAGCCCACCTTCTCCTGGCTGCGGCTGAGAAGGTGGGCTACCAGCAATACGAACGCGCAAGCAGATTGCTCAAGCAATGTGATTGGCTAGCCTCTGATACGGGTAACCCGGTCCAGAGAGTTGTTTACTATTTTGTAGAAGCGCTTCGAGAGAGGATTGATAGGGAAACAGGGAGATTTGTGTCAAGGTCAACAGTGGGGGAACAAGAAAAAGAGGTAATGGCAAGTCTAGGGGTGAGTTCAAACCTCGTGTCCATGAAAATCCACCAAGAAATTCCCTTCACACAAGTGATGCTATTTGCGGGAATTCAAGCAGTATTAGAAAATGTCGCGTTGGAAATCAATATTCATTTGGTTGATTTCCATATCAAGAGCGGTGTACAATGGATAGTATTGATGCAAGCTCTAGCAGAGCGAGCCACTTACCCAATTCAGCACTTAAAACTGACTGCTGTTGGGACAACGGAGGGACACAAGATGGAGGAAACATGCAAAAGGTTAGCAACCTTCGCCGAGTCCTTGAGCTTGTCTTTCTCATTCAAGGTTGTTCTCTTACTAGACATGAAAGACATAAAAAAAGAACATTTTGATGTGGAAGCCAAGGAGGCCGTGGTCATATACTCTAATACCATACTGCGAGATATGATCTCGAGGCCTAACTGTTTGGAAACTCTTATGAGAGTGATCAGAAGCCTCAATCCATCAATAATGGTAGTCATTGAAGTTGAAGCAAATCACAATTCACCATCGTTTTTCAATCGCTTCATCGAGACACTTTTCTTCTTCAGTGCTTTTTTCGATTGCCTGGAAGACTGCATGGAGAGAGAGAATAAGTACAGGATGATCGTGGAGGGAATATATTTTCGCAATGGGATACATAATATTGTTGCAACAGAAGGCGAGGAAAGGGTCACTCGGAGTGTGAAGATGAACGTGTGGAGGGCATTCTTTGCGAGGTTTGGTATGGTGGGGCTTGAGATGAGCGAGTCATCTCTGTATCAAGCAAATTTGATTGTCAACCGGTTCAGTTGTGGGAGCTCATGTACTCTAGAGAATGATGGAGAGTGCCTAACTGTAGGTTGGAAGGGAACTCCAATTCATTCCCTTACCACTTGGAAGTTCCGTTAAGAGAGAGAGAAAGTGTCATTTTTGGCCAAACTAGATTGATTGTGTTCCCTACATCTAATTACTCCGGTTAACATGTTTCAATGATTTTGCTCTTTTAAAAATTTATGTCTCGTTGTCCCTCTTTTTCAAAACTTACTCTGGTTAACATGTTTCAACGATTTTGCTCCTTCTGTTTTCATTTTAGCATTTTCTAATAAATGTGTAGAAAATTTTTCCAAAAACAGTATTCGCAAATAATATGCCAAGCTTTTGATTTCTAGAATATAATAAAAACGAAAGAAAAATAAAAAGAAAACAAAAACAAAATCAAAATCAAATAAGTTGTAAACAAGCAATTGGTGGATCTCTGTGTGTCTTCCAAAAATTAAATCTAAATGAACATTTACATGCTACTTCCCGAGACCACGTGAGGAAGAAATGAAAGAATTTGCAAGTTCGAGAAAACACACTACAAAATCTCTATTTTATTAAATTGCAAATGAAAATACAACAATTCATTCCAAGTATCAGGAACACCAGGAAGACACCAATGACTACAATCTTGAACACTAGAAGAGTAGCTCTTACCAAATTTTCTTCCATACGCCGATGGATGACCGTCTATTCTGTATTCCGATAGACCAGTTACATTCAAGAAAGTCACCGGAGTTTTCATCTGCTTCGTGACCTCCTCCACAATCAAGTTCTTTTCGGGGTAATTGAAACTCGAAGTTTCATGAAGTGGTTGAGTAGCTTCTCTGCAGTGGCCACCAGAATTCCATTGACCTCCTCTATCCAAACAAATTTAAAAATTTATTCAGCAAGTGAGTTGAGGGGATTTGTTTTCTAGTTTGGAGTGAAGCTAATAGGAGCAAACCTGAAATGGGAAGGTGCTGAACTTCGAAAGAAAACACGGGTTTTGCCTGGATTTATATGCTTATCAACCCATGATGCCCATGTCATCAAAGACCTTCGGAACGCAGTCAAAGCATCAAGACGAGGATGAACTTGTTCCCCTTCCTGGTAATAGTTGATCCTGTTATGAAGCAACTATAATGTTTTTTAAGGAAATATAAAACAGAAAAAGACAATACATTTAGCTCTAAATGTTCATTACTTCAAATTTTGTTTTCTGCATAGGAAATGATCTATAAATGTGTAGAATTAAAATAATCATTACCTAAACTTGGTTTGTTCTGCTAACACCAGAATTATAAAAGCACATAGCTTCAATCCCTAGTGATTTGCTTAACCATTCTCACACTTAGTGAATTCACTCAAAACTAGTGTCATTGCTGAAGGTTAGAGGTTTAGCTCTTATCCTAATCTTATAGTCATCCAATTTTGTCTAATAGTTGTTCCTTTAAACTCATGAGCAACTTTTTATGGTTCTACCTGAACTCACAATAATTCATTTTAAAAGAATCGGGATCAAAATTGCACTTGGGAAGGGACCATGTTAGCTTTTCATGTGTATCCCAATAGAAATCTCAGTTGATTGACTCTAAATTGTAAATCATAAATCAAGAATAGTAGCCTTGTTTGATAAAAGCCCTAACCCATCTTTTGTTTTGTGATGCGTCCACCAATGTGCAGTGTTGAAGACCAGAATATCAGCTCCTTTCCATCGTGATGAGCTCCTATCCATGGTATCAATCCTCAATGTCTGCACACGCTTCTTGCCAAGCCTTGCCTTACTCTCATGAACCAAGAAATGGGTTACATAGTACTCAACCGTGCACTTGTAATCCTGCAAAAACAACCTCAAAAATCAAAACACTGCCTATACCCGCAAACAGAACCAACAAAATTTGGGAAAGTTTTTGAAAAACTACCACAAATTTGAAACTATAATCTCCCTTCTCTTTGGTGATTCTCCGCCTATGAGCCTCGTACACCCTCTTCGGATCTTTGATGGCTCCCATTAACAAACACAGCATGGATTCCCATTGATTTCTGTTAATTGAATCACCCACAAAAACTAGTCTCTTCCCTCTGATCAATTCCAGCATTTTTGTTGCATTGAACCTAAGAAAAATAAAAATATTTATTTATTTTTTGATAAGTTGTTTTCCCAAATCTGCTCCCTTATTGATCTGAAAAAAATATAGTTCTGAATCAAATGGTAAAGCCTACCCCATTAGCAATCAAGAATCACCAAATTCATTATTTACTTCAGAATGCAGTTTCAAATAAATCATAGAAAAGATAATGACTTATTTCAAATGAATCATAGTTGTTAAGTCACCAATTAAATCTGGCCCAACAATCTATATCAAGCTAACACTCCCTCAAGTGTGACCTCGTCTCACACATGGAGAGATGAACAGACCAAAAGACAAGATGCACGACGACAGACAGATCAAAGTACTTCCTGAAACCAAAACTTACCATGTTAAGTCACCCAAAAACTTAAACTGTCATAAAATAGACCCAAAAATATACAGCAACCTAATATCAATCATAGAAAAGAAAATTAGATAGAACCTTGGAATGTCACAATCTTGTGGCTGCCACCTCCACTTCATGTACTCTTTATCCAATCTTCCATTACCTTCACAATTAAAGCCTTCATCTACGAAAGGACATGAATCATTTGTGTACAGAGGATAGCTTTCATCAAAAACCCATCTCCCTTTTGTAATATCACAAATTCTATTGCTCTTCTCCTTAATCCTCTCTCCACTTGAAACTTCCACTTTCTCAGACAAAATATTAGTCGCATTCTGTTGCCTAATTGTCAAATTACCATTTACAGAATCACCTATATCTATTTCATCAACTGACACTTTAGATTCATTTTCCTTTCTCGGAAAACCCTTAAAAATTGAACCATCAGCAAATCCAGAAGTACTCCCAACACTTACCGAAAACTTTGCACTCACCAAATTGCCATTCATAACATGATTTTCATTTTTTTCGTCACCTGACACTTCAATCCCACTTTTCTTTGTCAGAAGCCCCTCAAATCTAGAAACATTAACAAGCGTATTGATCAGAATTGGATTGCTTACTTCACTTGCTGATAAATTTATGCTGGAAGCAGTCAAGGTCTGAAGAGTTAAGGGTTTGAGACCCAGATTAAGAGTGGGATTTCTGAACTGAAAATGGGTTTCTTGGTGAACTGAAGGGGTAGCTTTGATGAGCCAGAAGGAGAAGAAGAGAAGGAAGATGAGAGAGGAAGAGATTGTGAACGCAAGCACCAAGAATCTAGTGGCTTTGATGGAAAAACTTCTCTGCCTATCCATCTATGGTGGTGACAGAGGGAGCATGAGAGAAGGAAGAAAGATGCTTTGCTCGTCAGTCCCAGATTTCAGCAGCAGTTGTCAAAGATTGGGCGTTAGCACATGCAATAGTGTGAAGCTAAAATGAATAATAATATTTATAATCTTATTAATAATTTTATAATTTTATTAAAATTATAAGTAGTCAAGTATGATTGATTTTTAAAAATAATATAATATTTAAAGATGAATTTATTTAGTAAGATTGTTAAAAAGATTTTAAGAATATGTAATTTTTTAAGATAATTGCAAAACTTAACAAATTGACGTATTCATTTTGGGGTTTTTTATTGATAAATCACATTTAAGGATGTTCTAACCCAATAAGTCCATAAAGGAAATTTATAACCCAATTAGTCCTATATGTTTGTACTTTTATTTCATGAAGTCTTTTTTTCTTAATTTTATATTTTTTTGGACTACTACACCCTTATATATTATGTTGATACATAACATACAAAAAAAATGAAATACACGTTTCTGTTTTGTTTGTTAGCGTTATTCACGTTGATGATTCTGATTTAGTTAATCAATATCGATCGTTTATGGTAGGGTTTCATTGTGGTAGGGTTTCAGTGCAGTAGAGAGAAGGCGACGACAAGTTTTTGTACCGTGGGAGAAAAGACGAAGACGATGGGTTTCTGTCCGTCAGTGTGTTTGTTTTCGTAGTTTGGTGTTTTTGTGTGCTTTGGTTCGTTACGTAATTGTTGGAGATCAGTAGTTGATCGGAGGTGGAGAACGATTACAGATGAATGCATGTTCATTTATGTGAAGGATTGCATGCTCTGTTTTTTATTCATGTGCATTTTCTAGAATACATGGGCAATACAAGTGCATGTTTGATGAATGAGGTTCTGATTTTTTTACTAGTAATGCATGTATATTTTTGTTGTTTGAGTTTCGGATATTTAACAGAGATGCATATACAGTTGTTTGAACAAATTGATTGTGGTGGATCATTGGTGAAAAGTTGCATATACAGTTATTTTGATTTTTTTGTTAACCTCATTATTAATCAGTGTTAATATTCACAGTATCTATAATGGAAATTTGTCATTTGTTTTATCAATCAGTGTGAATATTCACACATCCATATAATATTGAATAGTGTATATATTTTCACTGTGTTTATTGCCACTATGCAAAATGTTAAAGTTCACATCAGACCATTGTATTCAATCATATAATCACAAGCCACAATGTTTATTTAGATACAAAAAATGATGTGAATATTTACTTCTTTGTTTTGTTTCATCTCTGTTTGGCTAGATAATTCAGAATATGTGAACAATGTAAATGTTCACATATCATTGGCTATAATGTGTTTATTCATTTCCTTATTTTTGTATTTTTGCAGCAGATGGATACATTCATGTTGTTGGTGTGCTCATATGGGTGTAGTACTATTGTAATAAATGTGGTGCGATCTCTGTCTTATTCACTTTTCGTGGAGTGCGTGTTTGAAAAATGGAGCGCGTTATCTACTGATTGTGTTTCATTGTTCTATCGGTTACTTGGGATTAATAGGTGTTATTTTGGACAGTGATGATGAGCTTCAAAGCACATTCTTGCTTGCCAAATCAATAAGGGTTCAACATGCAGAGGTTGTTGTTGGATTGATGTAATGTTGGAATTGCATGGTAGTGATAATGATGAAGATGATGAAGATGAGAATGTGGGTGATGGTTTTTTTGTTTTTGGAGAGTTTGAGATTTTATGGGTTTTTTTTTTGTTTCTAGATTTCTGGTTTTTTGTACTAGAATTTTGTCATATGTATTGTCAATTAATGTTAATATTTACATATTTGTATAATATTGAATGGTGTATATGTTTTTGTTGTGTTCATTACCATTATGCAATATTGATGATATGAATATTCAATGACCATTTTGTTTTAGACACAAACATGATGTGAATATTCACAATGCAATAAATAAATGTGAAGATTCACATTAATTATGATATGTTTGTTCATGGATCGTACACCTAATTAATGTATAATGTGAATATTAACATTTGTAGTAAACCACAGTTTGATGTGAATATTCACAATACAATAAATAGACGTGAAGATTCACGTTGATTCTAATATGATCATATATCTAATTAATGTATAATGTGAATATTAACATCTGTAGTCAACCACAATAAACATAAGACATAATTTGAACATTCACATTTATTGAACATAAATTAATATGTAAACATTCACACAAACTTCAACATAAGAAAACAGATGTTCACAATCTATATTGTTTAGCACACGCAACACATCAACACCAAATATACCATCAAAACACATAGGTATGTGAGAAGTATATCATTGATTTATATATACGTTGTCAAGTGTTTTCAACTGCAAGTTATCAAAGTTACAAAAAAAAAAAAAAAAAACTAGCATTGTATTCTGGTATAGCTAGTAAATAGTGGACAACCCCAACTATCGAACAACGAAGTTTGCCTTAAGTAGTCCAGCTGAAAATACGAGAACTTGGTGCTTCTCATCGGTTTTGCTAAGCCTTTAATGTTTGATCGATAATTGACACGTTGCATGTCGATGTGGGTGTTACTCTCTAAAGGCATGCTCTCTTCTTTGACATGATACTCCTCTCTCTTCCTTTTTGTGCAAAATTTAGATGCAACATCTGTTATATGGGCATGCACAAATAGTGAGTGTTTGTATGAACATTAAATTTGATTTCAATAGAATTGGTAGGGTAGGCATGTACATTGACATCAACACATCATTAATCAATGTGGATGTTCACATTCAACGATATTCATATAAGCAAAAGCAACAAAGTGATATTTAAGTGACAAACATAGCAATGTGAATATTCACATCATTGGAGATGTGAATATTCACATTACTACTATGGTACAAATAGTAGTGGTCACACCGAATGTTAATATTTACACATCCATATAATATTAGGTATGTCTATGTGTATAGAAGAGAATGTTAAAGTTCACATCAATATTTGGTTACAACAATTCACAGTAAGACAATAATTATATGTACACATTTATAAGCAAATAGCACCAATGTGAATATTCATAGTGCCTATAAACAATCAAACAACATGACAGCATTACCCATTCATTACCCACAAACCACATATTTTCAGTGTACACAACTGTGATGTGAATAATAAGTGGACAAATATGAACAACATTAATGCTCACAATGTCAAGGTTCACATCAAAATCGAATTACAAGTAGAAGAAACGTTTTTATTTGGAGATTTGCTTGACACAATGTTCACAATCACGTAACAAATTTATTTAGGACATGTCCACATGTGAATGTTGACATCATGCCAACAACAACAATATCCGAAACAACGACAACTTTCTGTTTTCTAGGAAAACAACAAATTTGGGAGTTTTCATAATTTCAGCAATACCAACAACAACAAAAAGAGGAAAAATAACAGCAAAATCATGAACAACAAGGACCAAAAATAATAATGGCAACATGTGAGAAAGTTTTCATTAGGACCAAAAAAAAAATGTAATTTGATTACACACAAAAGGAGAAAAAAGGTGCTTACATTTGGTCTCCATGTTAAGTTGATACACTCTAATATATAGAAATGTTCACAGCGTTGTTTCTTTTTTGTTGGAGTATGGTTTCAGTAGCCGACATCGCTTCGATAATGGTGGAATGGTTGGAGAACAGAAAAACACAAACGGTGGGTCGACCCGCCGTATGTCAACATTGTTGCTAGTATTTGCATGTGGGCTTTCTTCTTTGACATGGTATTCATCTCTTTTTCGCTTTAAGGTTTTCTTTTGTGCAATATTTGCAAAATAAAGCATAAAAAAAATTAAGACAAGGCTTATGTGATTAAAATAGTGGCATAAATGTAAACATTCACAACATTGGCATAGATGTGAATGTTCACAGTTGTGTGCATGGGTGTGAATGTCTACAGTTGTGTGCATGGATGCGAATATCCACATCTGTCCATGTATGTGGATGTTCACTGTGTTCACAAAAATGCAATGTGCATAGTGTGTGTGTGCGTAAAAATCAATGTGTGTTTATACATTGATGAACAACATTCAAGAACATGTGGATGTTAACTCAAATAGATTAAAGGATGTTATGAACATTCACAGTACTAATTTGGCTAACAATGCACATACTTACTACAATCATGTTATGTCAATTTTATAGTACAACCTCAAAATTGAAATATGGTTTCAAACATGGGATAACAAAAGTGATATATTTCCTCTAAATATAGTGGTGAATGTTCACAAAGTGTTTAATTGATTTACACATGTTGTGAATGTTCACAATATAATTATATATCACAACAACATCTGATACAAGGAAATTAGACCATGATTCTTTGTTTTCATGTGAATGTTCACTACGGTTAACAACAACAATTTGATTGGCCAAACATTTTCAATCCATGTAAATGTTTACATCTTTCAACAACAACAACAATAACATCTGAAACAATCTGATTGGCCCAACATTTTTTAATCCATGTGAATGTTCACATCTTTCAACAACAACAACAACAACAACAACTGAAATAATTTGTGTGTCCAACAATTTTCAATTTTATGTGAATGTTTACATCTTTTAACAACAACAACAATAACATCCGAAATAATCTGATTGGCCCAACATTTTTCAATCCATATGAATGTTCACATCTTTCAACAACAACAACAACAATTGAAACAATTTGCTTGCCCAACAATTTTCAATTCCATGTAAATGTTCACATCTTTCAACAACAATAACAATAACATCTGAAATAATTTAATTGGCTCAACATCTTCCAATCCATATGAACGTTCATATCTTTCAACAACAACTAAAACAATTTGCTTGCCCAATAATTTTCAATTTCATCTAAATATTCACATCTTTCATCAACAATAACAATAACATCTGAAATAATTTAATTGACCCAACATCTTTCAATCCATTTGAATATTCACAGATTTAAACACAACATAATGGCAATTGTAATGTTTTTGTGTGAAAAAACCCATATAATTGGAGATAGGGATTGAGGGTTCAAATTAATGATTAGAGCATGAACA